TATACATCTTTGTGGGTATTTGTGTGTAAATTTGTAAGTATTATTGTTTTTATGGTAAAACTTTCTTTCTATTCCTTGTGTGTTTGGAGTTTGGAGTATGTTAAATCCATTTTTTCCTGAGGTTGGAAAAGAGAGTTGGTTTAATTGATAGGTTTGTACTGTAGAGGGTGCTCACGCTCCTCGTTGATACCCTGTAAATATCTCTGCATGTAACAGTTACTGTGTCTCTTCTGTGTATTTGACTTAATAAAGAAAGTTTGCATCGCAGGTTGTCATGTTAGTCTCAGCTTGTTGTTTCTTCTGAGCTGGATCAGTGAAAACAATATTGGATAGATGTTACCAGTACACTTCTATGAGCTATGTTTTCAGTCACATTACAAATAGGTTTTGCTCATTCTTTCACATGCTGCACCACTGAAACAAAGTCACTGTTTTTTATTGCATTTAGTCTTAAACAACAGCTGAGAAGTTACGGCAACATAAAGTCAGCTGTCCATTTGGGAATCTCAGGGCTATTTTTTTCTGCATATTTTGCAACTATTAGCTGTTAATGATTCTTTTTATATTAAAAGAGTGAAATGAAATGTCAGTGTGGAAATCATTGGCCCTGACTGTAGGGTACTGATGATAACAAAACATCAAAGTTATTATATTCACACAGTTTTATTGGGTGTTGTTTTTTTTGTTTTTGCCACTGTCAGTAGATTATCTGGAAATTCATCATCAGCACATATCACAACTGACAGATAACAGCAAATTTAACAATTAGTCTTCGATGAATTTTGGTTTTATGTCTTATAAAGCCATGCATACTACATTTTGTTTCAGTTTGAACCATGAAAACATTTCTTTAGCTTTGCACGTTCAGCTTATTTTTTGGTCTTTTTATTTCACAGGTCTTGAACCAGCTCGTCCCAACCTGCTCCTTGGCCTGCTGATCTGCCAGAAGGATAGAAAACGTCCTGGTGCTCCGTTAGACAGTGAAGAGAAACGGTCCAAGACTCAAACCAAAGATGCAGAGGAAACCAGCCTTCCAAAGCCACCTCCTGCAGTCAAAGCAGAAAAGAACACACGGCAAAGTCTTGAAATCCCCTTCAGCACAACTCCTCCAGGATCACCTCCATCTAGCTCCTCCGAGGCTTCCACCACCTCTGTTCTGTCCCTGTTATCTTCCATCAAGGCTCCATCCACATCCGCTACCACTGACAAGGACTCAGTTTCTTCATCCAACTCTGTTTCTTCATCCGCAGCAGCTGCCACTCCTCTTGAGACCATTCTCAAGACTCTTTTTGGCAAGAAAAAACATGACTCTGAAGCTTCCAACTCACCGTCTGATCAGGGTGGGGAATTTGCTGCCCCAACAGGTACAATGTTAGATCCTATAGTTCAGAAGTTTGCACAGATTTCTAAAGAAAAAACAGTAGAGGAGGATGAAGATGACCGACCTTATGACCCAGAAGAAGAATATGACCCCAGTAGATCCTACAATGTGCCGAAGAAGCCTATGGAGGTGGTAAGCAAACCTGAAGTCACTAAGCAACCTAAGGTGGAAACAAGTGAAGCTGATGATGTTGCATATGACCCAGAGGATGACTCTATTTTCGAAGAGGTTAAAACTTTAGTTCCAGGTCAAGCTAAGCCTGCAACTGAGTCTGCAGCCGATCCCCAAAAGATTCTTGAGAGCCTTAAACACATTGGTGATCAAGCATTGCAGAAACAAGGAGAACAGCAAATGTCCTCTACAAGCACTCCTATTGCCTCAGTGACACTTGCAAGCACACTCTTAACTCAACCTGCAAAATCTCTTTTGGCCAATTGTCAGTTGCTACAGCTTGGCAAAAAGGTTGAGGAGCTTGTGAAATCTTCATCTGTTGCTCCTTTAATCAATCAGAGGAGAGATCCCAGACAAAGCAGGGATCCTCGCCAGTCTACAGGCAACAGAAAACTGTCTGATGAACCCGAGGACAAAGAGGAGACACCTGCTCCAGTGACCGATCCTGTTCCTCCAGCCTCACAGCCTGAGGTGCAAGAGCTGCAGTTGCCTAAAACAGGCGAACCTGCAGACTCGTCACAAGATTCAGACCCCTCACTGCATCAAGAGGAAGTGAAAAGTGAGGCGCTAGTTTTCATGGAATCAGACAAGGCAGAGGTTTCAATTCCTTTATTAGGCGAAAAGGTGGACCCTGATATGGAAGTCAGCTACACAGATGAGAAAGAAGAGAAAAAAGAGGAAAGCGAGCCAGTTAAGTCTGAAACAAAGATGGACAAGTTCAGTATGTGGCCAAATGCAGCCAGTATTTTAAAAGCTGAGGATTCAGAGTATGAGGAGAATAGCCAAGAGACATCTACAGCAAGCTATTACAGTGAGCCTGCAAAAACATCCAAAATAACTTCGACAATCCCAGTACTCACTCAGAGCACAGCAGCAGCTGACACTCAGTCACATCACATGCTGCATCACATGACAGGGTCAGACTTCGACAGTGAGTACAAACCTCCAGCTGACATTCCTCCACAACCCAACTTCTCCCTTCCCCGTTCCATGCAGGGCCAAAATCTAATAATGAGGCCGCCTCCAGTGCCTGTGCTACCACCCATGCAGGCCATGCAAGGTCCTCCAATGTCAGCCCCCCCTCCTATTCAGGGACCCCCTCCTCCAATCCATGTTCCTCCCCCTGTGCACAGTCATCCCCCAATGCAAGGTGACAGCAGTCAGCAGTATGGCCCACCACCATCTTCATACCCTCCCTATCAAAACCAGTGGTCAAGCACGCAGCCACCACCTCAACAGCCACCACCTGGCCCACCACCTCAGAATATCATGCCACCCAGAGGCCCACCACTACCACCATTCCCTCCAGTAGCCCAGAGGGGCCCACCTCCTCAGATATTTGATCCCTCCATTCCCCCTCAGCACATTGGACAACCAGGTCCCCCTCCAGGACTTCCCCTTCCCCCCACCTTCGATGGACAGAACAGCTTAGCTCCGCCCAGATTCACTAGTCCTCCCCCACCACCTTTTAATTTCCCTGGAAACAGAGGTCCTCCTCTGCCTTTCACCGCTCTGCCACCTGGTCACTTTGATAACAGGCTTCCTCTTCCAAATCTCTTTCCAGGGCATAGGGGTCCCCCACCACCTCAGTATGGTGACCATGGGGCTCAACCAACAATAGTAGACCAGGTTCGAGGATCTGCAGAACAGTATAACAAAGATGCTGTTAATAACCCCAATCAGGGCCCTCCACCAGGTCCAAGCTACCGGGGACCTCCACATAACCAGTATGAGGACAGACGAGGTCAGCCTCCCAGTGGGGAGCACTTCAATCCACAAATCCAGTATGGGGGCTCCAGACCTCCATCTTCACCACCACACCGAGGATTTTTTGATGAGCACAGAGGTCCTCCATCTCAGGAGACCAGACCTCCGCCTTTTGCAGCCTCTGACCGGTACCGCTTTGACAGGTACTCTGATGAGGCTAGACCTGTTCGCCACAGCGGGCCACTGCTGCCAACTCCTCCGGAGGCTCCACTAGGTCCGCCAGACCTACACCGGGACGATCACTGGCGCCGCCATTCTCCTGAAATGAGGAGGAGGAGCAGCACCACCCGTGAGGACTCAGAGCCTCGCAGTGGAGATCGCTTCAGCCGCTTTGAAGGACATAGAGAACTCATTCATGGTTCCTCACAGGCCCCTGATGAGAGGCCGAGGGATCTGTCTGAGGACCGCCGGAGAGAGAAAGAGAGAGATGTCCCTCATGCTGGCAGGCCCTCATGGGACAAGGGGCAGGGAAAGCGGTGGAGCCGAGAAAGAGAGTGGGACAGAGGCAGAGAAAGGGACCGGGATAACGAGCGTAGCCGAGAAAGAGACCGCAGCAGAGGGAGGGAGGGTGAGAGGCACAGGGATGCAGAGGGAGAACGACACAGGGATCAAGATTCAGACAAGAGGCGAGACCGAGATAGGGACAGGGAAAGAGACAGAGACAGAGTTAGGGAATCTGACAGGAAAGACTTGGACCGAGATAGGGGAAGAAACCGTGACAGAGAGCGAGAACGAGAGCGTGAGAGAGACAGGAAGCGGGACCGATCCAGAAGCAGAGAGAGAGACCGTGACAGGGATCGTGGGAAAGATCGGGGTAGAGACAGAGACAGAGATCGAGATAGGGACAGAGAGAGGGAGAGAGAGAGAGAAAAGGAGAGGGACCGTGACAGAGGCAGAGATCGTCGGGAAAGAAGCAGAAGCCGAGATAAGAAAGAAGAGAAAAAGGACAGTAAACACGATACGTCCAAGGACAGTGATAAAACCACAGAAAATAGCAAGAACGTTTCCTAGTCTCTGTTTTATGGACATTACGGTTCCAAGACTTTTACATCTTTAATCACTGTAAAAACAGAAGAGCAGTATTTCATCCGATTTCCACGGTTGTGTTCCTACCAGACAAAAACATTTAAATATGTTTGTATTCTCTTTGTCACCTAAAGGTTTCTAAGTTTGTTTTATTACATTTGAAAAGCAAAAAACTGAATGCAAGCTAAACTGCTTGTGGTACAAGACGTATTAATGTAGGCTGCACAGTCCTATTACATGTACCTTTTTTTTGTCAAAGCATTTTTCTTTTTAGAAAACAATAATGTAACTGATTCACACCATTTGCAATATGTAAATATGAATGTATTTGTGTATATAAGGATGTTTTTAATCATACTTTTCTAAGTAGAGAAAATAAAAGCCATATATCTGAGATGGACAATGTGAAGGCTAAAGATACACTGAGACATAAATGTGTTAATATGTTCAACAGATTTGAAATAAAATGACATCAGCCTTACAGTATACACCACAAAAATGGTTGTTTATGAACTGTCACTTTTTTTTGTTTCAGCTCTACTAATAAACCTGTTTGATGGCATTTGTTTTGGATGTAAACAGTTTTTCTTTCAAATATAAATGAAACGATTATTCATCTTAAAAGTGGTGTGGGTTTTTTTTGTGTTCACACTGTTGTTTTAGCTACACATACTGATTATTAGCTTATTGAGTCAGATGATAAAGTGAGCAGTTTCAGTTGTTAAAGATCAGAAATCAAAGCTTTTCTTTTTCAGTAATAAAACACGTATTAATCTCGATAATTAACTTTCAATTTAGGAGCTTATTTTTTCAGTCCATATAGAACCACCATATAATATTTTGGCCATGGCCTGTACTAACATGAATATATATATATAATTGTGAAGAAAGTCAAGCTTCAGCAACACTGACTACAATACAGAACCTCTTTAATGTTTGACCCATGCTGCAGTAGAAAAACAAAGCAAACAAAAAACCATACATCCACATCTCCTGATGAGGCGCCGACTAGACAGTCCAATAGAAAACTTTTACGCCACCATAAGCCAGATAGATCCACCTGTGGGGGTGGTTAAGTGTTATCCCACCCAGCGTCAAGCAATTTAAAACAGTTTAAAATGAAACTGAAAAATAACCCGAAAGCTTACAAGAAAAAAAAATTCCTTCGAATTGTTTTGGGTTGTTTTTTTTTTTGTTTGTTTTTTTTTTTACATCTGCAAGGAAAATAAAAAGCAATGAAAAAATAATGATATGAGGTGATGAAGGGTAAAAACTTCAAGTACCTGAATGGTTCTAAAACCATAAGGAGGAAAAACAGGCTTAGTGTATCAGCAAGCCTCTTCAAGGCCATTTCAAATTGTAACCTGCATAAACAATATAACATTATCCAACCTTTATGCAACCAAAGAAGGTGTGGGGTTTATCACCTGTAAGACAGAGAATGAATTTATATGATACAATATCCATGTAACGTGATATATATTAATGAAACCGACAGTTTCCTTAAAAAACACATAACTGAAGACAGAAATTTAGCTGACCGAAAAAAAAACAGCCAGTAATGTTGCCTGGCATTTCAGTAAAAACATCACATTTCATCCTTTTTTATTACAGACAGAGGTGCTTGAATCTAACTACAGATGGGTTGATGTCAGTTGTCTCAGGAAAAGGAAGGATTGTGGCTTTTCTAGTTTAAAAGTTTATTTCCAGGGGGGCGTGAACAATTTTGTAGTTATGATGTTTAAGTAGTGTTTCATAAATTTTGTCCACATGGTATAGTGGTTTAGACATTCACCTAACATTTAACATCAACCTTCAATACCAGACGGAGACGCATATCCCTCTGAGATTGTGTCAGGAAGGAGAGCAGCATAAAAAAAAATCACTGTTAAGATTCAGAGTCTCCTTCTGTGCTTGGGCATCCCTGACCACAACGTTTTGGATTTTCCTTTGGAACCACACAAACCCATCGTTAGGTTTATAGTTCAAATATGCAAAGCTGATGAATACTGAAGTAAGCAAACATTTCCATAAAGAATCAGGCCTTTTGACTAACTGCACTGTTGAACTAAATCACTGGATCTGCATACACTCCATACACAGTATAATTTATCAGTATTATTCAGCATAAGATGAATAAGCTTTTCATTGTCATCAATCAATCTTCATTATGGCTGAAAGTTTCTTCACCCGACTCATCTGCAGACAGGTTTTCCTCTTCTTGTGCTTGACTGTCAGAAATCACAGTGTCCTCCTGTGACTCCAGAGAGTCAGCGGCCTCTTCCTTTGCTGCCTTGGGCTGCTTGACCACAATTTTTGGATTTTCTTTGGGCACCACACAAACTCATCTTTAGGCTCATAATGCAAATATGCATACTTGATGAGACGTCTGCGCTTTTTCTTATCAAGTACAGCAAACATAAAGTAGCTGAGGACGCTGTCCCTGATGTTTGGAAGTTGTCCGTTGACCAGAGTCTCCTCCAGGAAGAAGCGGACCAGAGGGGCTTGGTAGTGACGGTAACCCAGGTTTCCCAGACACTTCAGGATGCGAGTGATGCGCAGGCTGTTGTGTGTGTGACTGTCAGACAGTGATCAGTCCCAAAATTAGATAATGTATAGCTTTGTCACTTTTACTGCACACAGATTTTTTTAAATTCTGAGGTAGTTTTACCTGTTAAGGTTGTCAAATCTTTCTTCCCAATGCTTTGCTCTCCTGACTTCTCCAGTTTTTTCATCACACAACACGATACCATAAAAGTCCAACATGAGCTTGTACGACTTCAGCAGGTTTTCCTGTGCAAGGCTGTGATTAAGAAAATCCTGAAGGAAAAATCGAACCTCTATCAGTGTATAAGACATGTTTTAATTTTAAATTATAACTTGGTAACTTTCACAGGTTTACCGTAATTTCTTCCTTTGTCAGTGTACTGGCCTCATAGTTCACTCCTGGTTCTTGCAGTGGGAACAACCTTTGAGAGAAAATGT